GAAAGCAGCGATAAAATAATCGTTATAAAATGTTCCGCTTCAGCTTACTGCTTCACATCAGCAGTCTAAGCAAAAAAATTTATGTTTAATCGCCCTCTTACAAAGTCATTTCAATATCTGCGCCACCATCAATTACATTTCTTGATGACCTGCGAAAAGAATATTCTCGCGCTTTAGATCGCAAGTGCCCTTATCGGTCGTCTTTATCAAAGTTTTTGGATGAAGATCGATGCTTCGAAAGATCTGTACGAAGTGCATTAATATGATTAACCCGAAGTAAGCTTTGAAATAAGATTAACGCCTTTAGCCAATAAATACAATTTGATGACTTCACACCTCAGGCCGAGATATTTCGAACCCGGAGTATTTGGAAAAATAAAAGGGTCTCCGTGCCTTAGGATAATTGAAGAATAATGTCTAGAAAGCTAGTATATCAGTGTTTTCCTTTCGATTGTCACGCAATCCCGTTATGTGTGCGATCACGCCAAGGTCAACGATTGTAATTTTGTAAAGGAAAGACGCAACAAAAACGATTTTGTGTGGAGCAACTGGGCAGTTACAACAACTAAAAGACACAGAAAATACAGGTGAAATGTATTTTCTATGTCTTGTCGAAGAAAACGCGTGACAGAACACGCCGCTTGGGATTTAGCACAACAGATTGCCAACATCCGCATGGGTTTCAAATCCGACTACAAATCTTTTGCTTCGGCACAAAATACTTTCATTGAATTGGGCGATATATCTAGGTTACCCGAAAACAGCATCATTTCAGCCTTCGTAAGGTTACGTTTTGACGAGTGTACTTAGGCGTAATGTATTAATCCAAAGAGCTTAACTTGCTGACGTCGGCAGGCTAATTTGAATTTACAATACTTATGACATTTGCAATTTCGTCTCGATCAAATAAAGCTTGAATTTGTCACGAAACGTGTGTTTATCATGTGGGCTCGTGGTAAGACTGAAATGCGAGATCAACTTTTTGATGTTAATGAAGTTTTGATGCACGTTACCTCTGTCTCCCGCTGTATATCCATTTCCTTCTTCACCATTTCGGATTAGTCGGCAATGAGGTGAAAAAAAACAAACACCGATAAAGTTCACACCCAATGTTTTGAAGCTGCACTTAAGTGCTAAATGATAAATATTTCAGACATCAAAACTAACGGGGAATCCCCCGGTTATATCGTTTGTTAATCTAACTATTTTGCTTAGAAAGCACAATCTTGAGGCGATCATACAAACTGCACCTATTAATTATTTAAATTTTTAAAGCTGGTGTGGCTATTGAAATATTTTATTTTATTGAGCTGCTGTCATGCCTATCTGAGGAGTTAATTCGGCAGAAAGTTACATTTCAGAAAGAAATTAAAAAATTGCATAGACGGAACAATTAACAATGTGCTGCGTAAGCGTTTTATAACATTACAAAATGACTTGTAAATATATATTTTTCGAACTACTCTGACATACGATAACAAGTCATATTAGAGAGCGTCTCTTTTGCATCTTAAAAGCGTTTGTTTTTCTGTCTGGGAGATGAGGTAATCGTGATATTTTTAATTGTTAGCTAAAAAAAGTGTAACACAGCATTTATTGGATATGCTGACAAAGCATGTGAAAACTTAAACCTCATTTTAAACATTCAATTTTTCATACGGAGCGAATTTGTCAAACTTTTGTCGATAAAATACCGCCAGGAATTTCGCTTAAAATCTAAAAGAAATTTTAAAATAAATATATTATTTAATAATTAATGTTAAAAAGCGACGATGTTTTGTGTGAAAAGTGTGAATTATTTTTATTTCAAATCAACAATCTTTGCCTAAAATTAATTTTGGCGGTAAAAGTCGATGTCTTTGTATTCTCCGTCTGCAACTGAATTGAGGGTTGGACAAGAAGACTTTCGTGAAAAAAAAAAATGTTGGTTTGAATATTCAGAAGATATGCTTTTAATGTATTCCCAGACAGGTCTGAACTGGTGTTAGAGTATTACGACCTAGAAGGAATTATTCTTTCTTGAAAAAGATTTTCCTTTCGGTGAAAGATGGTCAAAACAAAATTTGCTCATGGTGGTTTTGATCTTCCCTCACAAATAAACTTAACCTTTACACCTTAATAAAAGTATCTATATTCTCCATATTATTCTCTATACATTCCCTGTCAGGTACTGACAAGGAGAATTTGTTTAACAATTTAAATAAAGAGCTTCTTTAGTTGGTGATCATTTCCTGTATTCTCCTGAACTTAATGTTTGATTTAGGACTGAGAGTGTTGGGAGAAAATAGATGCTAAACGCTATCATCAGGGGTTGAGCGGTTAACTTACTTCACCCTGTAAACACATTTCGTTTATTTTCCATGACAGAATTACACTCCGACGGAGCTTAACGTACAGTTTCGAACGTAATTATAGACTACAAACGAGGTGATAATGAAACTTGACACTGACCATTCTTACAGGGTTGGGTAATGTGGATGATGTCTGAGTTTCAGTCATTACATAAGGAAGTACTAACACAATTTCTCTCGTACTCAATCTCAATAATTGTCAAATTATTTTTACTCAACAACTGATCAAAAGTTTCTGCACAAAAAATATGACTGGATGAAACAACAAGTAAACTCTTTCTAAATTTGGTGATGTCTGCCACTTAATCCAAGAACTGCTTTGTGCCAGCACATGCCAAGCATGTACACATTGGTGGTAAAATATCTGCGGGTGATTGAACATGAATCACCACTAATTTTTCGATCGAAGTGATCATTTCTAGAAAATCTGAGCTTTCCTTGAAAGAGTTATATGACAGAGAGGTTTAAATTCCAAAACGGTCGCTGATGTATCTACCATTCAACTTAATTCAATTTAAAATACATTACTTAACGCATTCTTACTATATCAAACAATCTGTGAGCATAGGGAACTGCTAAACCTGAACAAAAATGACACAAAACCTACGAAGATAGAAGTCTTGGCAGTCACTACGTTTGTCGCCTTTGGGCCGGCATCCACTGAAGAGGATGGTCACTCATGCCGGTCATAAGTTGCCCTCTTATAATCATTTATTTTGCTCTCCTATATCACTTGAGAAAATCCATTCCCTTTGCTTATTAAAGCTTACTGTACTGACTTAAATCTCGACAAGAGTTCTTAACTGTCTTACGATCTGTTAATGACGCTTAAAATTTCCCGAGTGGAGTCTGGTGTCAAAGGAAGGGTAGCAGAGTATTCATTCCCATAGTTAGTTGAGCCCTCGGACTTCAAGACCAACTGCAATGGAGGGCCCTTCTTTGGAGAAGAAGACTCGTCAGCGAACTCTGCAGAAATAAAAAGAAAAGAATACAGTCGTGACATTAGATTCACGTGTATTTTTGGGTGACATTTTATGGGAAGACCAGAGGAATTATTCCGCATTTGCATAGCCTGATAAAAACAATTGGGGATAGAAAACATGCAAACTTCTTATCTTCCCAGTTCTCTTGCGGTAAGATAAGGCTATGCAAGATTTATTTTCAACCACCTTTAAATTAAAGCTTTTTTTTTGCAGATGAGATTTCTTCTGCTTTTATCTTTTAATTTTTTTCGTTCTTTTGTTGTTATTATTGTTGTTACTTTTTTTAAATTCGATTTGTATTCTGCTCTATTGCTTGACAATTCAACGTAAACACTCTTAATGGTATTTGCTTAAAGTGATGAAATTAAACAGACCTGTTAAGTAGGTCATCTACATGTAAAAATCAGTTCTCTGAACTGTCTGCCATACATTTCTGATCATTTTAGCTCAGTTTAAATCAATCAATATCCCCTCCTTTTTCACATAAATATGTGTTTACATCTTTATGAGAAATTCCTATTCGATTTATCCTGGTAGCGAAAGGTACATGAGAGGCTTTTGAAACTTTCACATGTAGATCTTTATATTGTCATTATGGCTTTTTTTACCTTGTTCAGGATCATTGGAACCCTCCATTCCTTCCATTTCGTCAAGTGAAGACCCACTCTGCTCTGACATTTGGTCCACCAACTACAGAGAGAGGGAAAAATAGTTCTTATTGGGTTATCCCTTTTAAGAATATCATCTTCAAAGTGTGTGTCAGTTGTAAAATTTTCTTACATCGATGATTTCTTGATCACTGGGGACTTCGTCTTCTGAAAAGGGAAATAAGGAAGGAAAGGTTAGCTTTTAAGTTAGCAAGCTAGAACACTGCTGAATACAATCGGGACAGTATATTGATAAAAGCAACTTCACAGCATCAACGTACCTTCTTTAACTATTACTTTGGCGCCCTCTGTGGAACTCTGGAAAACAAAAGGAACCTACTGTTC